ATTTATTGTAGAGATGAGGTCTCGAACCCGTGGGCTCAGGCAATCCACTCACCTCAGCCTTCCAAAGCACGGGATTACAGGCTGAGCCACCGAGCCCGGCTCCCAGGTCGATCTTAAACCCCTGAGCTCAGGAAATCCTCTTGCCTCTGCCTCCTGAAGTACTGAGATTATAGGCAGGGACCTTATTTGAATATTTTTGTAAGCAAATATAATTCACATAATAAAACAAAAACTATGAAAAATCATTATAGATAAATTGATTACCTCCTTAAAATCGAACAAAACTTTGCTTCTGTTGTCTATACTAATTCTCCATGCCTCTAAACTTCAACAGGAACAAATGTTGGAAACAAAAATTTAAGTGAATTATATTTCTCACTTTATGCTTTCCTGCCTTAGATTTCTGGCTGCTAATGCCTTCTTGAATAGTAGAAATATCCAAACAAGAATCGTTTCAAAAATGCAAGAAAGGCCGGGCTCCATGGCTCAGTCTGTAATCCCGCGCTTTGGGAGGCCGAGGTGAGTGAATTGCCTGAGCCTGCGGGTTCGAGACCCGCCTGGGCAACTTGGCAAGACCTCATCTCTACAATAAATCAAAAAATTAGCTGGGCGTGGTAGCGTGTGCCTGTAGTTCCAGTTACTCGGAAGGCTGAGGTGGAAGGATCACCGGAGCCCAGCAGGTCGAGGCTGCGGTGGCCAGAAGCAGCCACTGCCCTCCAGTCTGGGCAACAGAGTGAGACTCCAACTCAAAAAAAAAAAAAAATGCAAGATAACTTCAATTGCAGCACATTTAAAATTTAATCTAGCCAGGCTCGGTGGCTCAGCCTGTAATCCCACGCCTTGAGAGGCTGAGGTGAGTGGACTGCCTGAGCCTGTGGGTTTGAGACCCGCCTGGGCAATTTGGCAAGACCTCATCTCTACAATAAATCAAAAAATTAGCCGGGTGTGGTAGCACGCGCCTGTAGTTCCAGTTACTTGGAAGGCTGAGGCGGAAGGATTGCTGGAGCCCAGCAGGTTGAGGCTGCGGTGGCCAGAAGCGGCCACTGCACTCCAGTATGGGTGACAAAGTGAGACTCCAACTCAAAAATAAAAATAAAATAAAATTTAATCTGAAACCTGATACTGAGTGACAGGTACCTGAGGATTCATTACACTATTTTGGTTACTTGGAGTATGTCTAAAATTTCCCCTAAAAAGTTTTAAAATTTTTATCTATAAGGGAGAACAATCCTTCAAAAACCATCTTGCTTGTAACGGAAAATTTCTTTCACCCAGACAATAAAAATTTCAGTCTTGCCTGAGATTGACAAGTTTTTTTCCTGCTGAATATCCAGCAACACATACGGGAATCACCATTCTGCTTTTGTATACAAAGCAACACAATTAACAACTTTGCAGTCTAGCCCTACAAGATTTATTTTACCATTTCTTAACAACACAAAATTAATCTTATTAGAATAACCAAAAGCCCAAATATGAGGTAAGATTTTTCTCTCCAAAAAGACCCCTAAGAAGCCATTCCTTTAATACAAAATAATTGGAAGTGATCACATTGTGGCAATCCCAAAAAATCCATCTCCAAGAAAGATGTAAAACAGACTGCCTAAATGTGATATGAACAGCTATTTGCAACCTGGAATAAAATTTCCAGGAACACCATCATAGACAGGTTCAAAAAGTACTATAACTCATCAGCAAAATTTCAGCTGCAGGAAACTGTACAAGACAAATAATCTTGTTTTTTTCCAAAAAATAAATTACAGCATCTGGAGGGAAACAGGGGAGGAAATACCTACAAAACTAAGAGACTTGACATATTTAAAAACTGCCACATATAGTTCTTATTTGGATCCTATTTCAAATGAACTAAAATAATCATGAAACAAACAGGGAAATGTAATCACTGGATAGGAAAACGGCAGAGAGAAAAAAAGCAATTTAAAAAATGCACACGTTGCCAAGCTTGGTGGCTCACGCTTATAATCCTAGTACTTTGGGAGGCAGAGGCAAGAGGATGCCTGAGTTCAGGGATTTGAGACCAGCCTGGGCAACTTGGTGAGACCTCGTCTCTACAATAAATAAAAAAACTAGCCAGCTGTGGTAGCAAGCACTTGTAATTCCAGCTACTTGGAAGGCTGAGTGGAAGGATCACCTGTGCCCAGCAGGTCGCAGTTGCGATGGCCGTGAACGTGCCACTGCACTCCAGCCCAGACAACAGAGTGAGACTCCCACTCAAAAAAAAAAAAAACACACACATGCAGGCTGGGTGCAGTAGCTCATCCCTGTAATCTCAGTACTTTGGAGGGCTGAAGGAGGAGGATCACTTGACTGCAGGAGTTTGAGTTGTTAGGCAACATAGCAAGATCTCATCTTTACAAAAAAATTAAAAAGTTAGATAGGCATGATGGCATGCACCTGTAGTCTTGGCTACTTGGGAGGCTGAGGCGGAAGGATCACCTGAGCCCAGGAGGTCAAGGCTGTGGGGAGCTGTGATCATGCCACTGCACTCCAGGTCACTGCACTCAAGCCTGGACGAGAGAGTGAGATCTCGACTCAAAAAAAAAAAAAGCACATGTAACTAGAAATAAGCACTATGTCATCTAAATCCTTGAAAGGATATATAATCAAGCTGGCCAAAAAAAGGCTTTGAATTTTCTTTCTTTTAAATTTCACTTTATATGTTGGCCAGGCTGTTCTCAAACTCCTGGCCCTCAAGCAATCCTCCCAAAGTGCTGAAATTACAGGCGTGAGCCCCATGCTTGGCAAGGTTTTTCAATTTTCTTTTTGGGAAAATGAGAGACTGCCCATATTCAAGAGTGCCTTAGGATCAAGCTCATATGGTAAAATTTAAAGTTACGTTTATTGAGAGCCTATTACATACTAGGCACTGAGCAAAGCGCTTTCAGGGTTTGGTACA